ACAGCAGGAAGCAGACACGTCCACTTGAGAAGAGCTGCAGCTCCAGCCCTCGACAGGGAAGGGACAGAGTGACACCTTGGATGACATCTCAGGTGCTGCTGGAGTTGAGTCCTCAGGGATTGGACACAAAGACCCAACTAAAGAAAAGAAGTGAAGAAATACAGGGCACCAGCCTTTGGGGGCTCTTGGAGGACTCAGTGACCACAGGGATAGGAGGTCAACCAGCTGGGCTGGAACTCTGGGAGACCTGAGCCACATCTTGTCCCCCTACAGCCCCAGTTTTGTCACCTCAGAAACAAGGGGCTTACCCATGACCCAGAACCCCTTCCTGTTTGGACATCACAGGAAACTCACCGCCCACCCTTCACAGCAGCTCCCAGCCCAGGTAACCAGCTCTCCCCTTCTTGTTAGATTCTCTAAGGACAAGCCCTGCTCTGGGTCCCCTAAAAGTCCCCCAAAAGAAAGTCAATTCCAAAAGGAAACAAATTTCGCAGACTGATTTTCTATTGAGTCTATGGTGCAGAAAAGAGGTTGGGAGAATTCCATAAGGGAGTGAGACTAGAGATGAAGGGAGGAGCTGAGAGCGGGAGGTGGGCAGCTTTTCCTCATGGAGCTTCTTAGTCCACCCGGCCCACCCAGCTTGGGGGTGTGGGTGACTCAAAGGCAGCCCCACCATGCAACTGACCAGAGCTGCCAGTCCATCTGGAGGGGAGGATGAAGTCTGGGGGGAAACAGGTCCCCAGGACAAAAATCCTGTAGGGCCGACCCCCTGATGCACCCGACTAGACAGACAGCAGGCACTGCCGGCTCCGGGAGAGGAAAAGAAAGACGTCCTGGTGCGCCATCAAGGCAGAACTGACCCACTGAGGCAGAACTGACCCACAGCTGACCCTCGGGGGGTTTTCAGAGGCTGTAATTCACACAACAGGAGCCCATCTCTCTCTCACAGAGCCGCTGGGGGAGTCAAACGTTTGACTTAGCAACAGGGCTCTGTGTGGACTACACCCCAGAACTCCCTGTGCAGCTCAGCTCTAAGTAATCACAGCCTCGTCTACTAAACGATTCACCAACAGTCATCACTGAACACAGGAGAGGTGGAGGAGGAGTCTCTGGGTGGCTCGGTTAGGCGTGTGACTGCTGGTCAGAGGGTTTGAATCCACCCAAGAGCTTTGGGAGACAGTTCAATGCTCTGCTTCTGAAAGGGTGTGGCCTTGAAGACCCCATGGAGCAGGTCACTGTGCACACAAGCGGAGTAGGAGCTGACTGCAGGGCGGGAAGAAGGACAGTGCTGTGTGTGGCTGTGGGCAGGGACGGGCTCCAGCTCCTGTCTCATCCACACATAAACATCATCATCAGATCGTGCTCAGAAATGGAAACGAACTAAACAGGAATCTATGCTCCACTCAGAACAACCGCCCAGCAGCACAGCTCCCAGTTCAAAGCAACCACTCTGAGCTCTGAAGAACAGGACATGGAGCAGAAGACGGGGAGTCGGGATGCTCATGGTCTTAAAGGCTTTGGACGTTTTAAACTATGTGCACTTTCTACTTTGATAGAGGGTTCTAAGGAGCTGCATTGAGTCTCAAACCCACCAGGTGTTCTGTGCAGTGAGACGGGCAATCTCCTCGCAAAGAGTTTTGGGGCTGAGTGCAGCAGAAGATTTCACCTTGGCCCTAGTCCAAACCAGGTATGCCCACATTCCCAGAATCACACTGGGCAAGGCCCGCATGTTTAACTAGCTTTGGGTCCTTGGGCCAAGAAAACAACTCTGAGATGCCAGAAAGAAGTTATGGTTTATGGTTTACATACCAGAAAGAAGTTATGGTTTATATACCAGAAAGAAGTTATGGTTTATGGTTTACATACCAGAAAGAAGTTATGGTTTATGGTTTACATACCAGAAAAGAAGCTATGGTTTATGGTTTACATACCAGAAAGAAGTTCTGGTTTACAGCATCTGAAGACCCACTGAGGGGTCAGCTATGAGCCGGTTCCAATTCCACAGCACACAACAACAGTGAACGCACAAGGCCCGTCAACATGTTGTAAAGCCTGAACGTGAGTCCTGCTCTTGTGGTCTGCAGCAGCCGTTCCCCCCCAACCTTCTCATTGCCTCCCCCCGGTTCTGTTTGCTCTGGTCTCCCCTTTCTAGCATCCTTCTGTCTCGTAAATCACAGAATTTATTATCTGCTGGGATGTTTGTGTTTAAGGAGCCCTGGGGCACAATAAAGAAAGCACTGAGCTGTTAAATGAAAGGTCAGTGGTTTGAACCCACCAGCTGCTCTGCCGGAGAGAGATGGCACGGTGAGCTTCGGTAAAGATTTACAGCCTTGGACACATGCTGGGGGGCTCTCACTCGTTCTGCGGGGTGCTGCGAGTGGGGATCTACTGACAGCAGTGGGTTGGCCTTTGAGGGATGTGTGTGTCTAATTTAAGTCTGTGAGTGTTACAAACAGTTAAGTGCTTGGCTACTAACTAAAACGTTGGTGGTTTGAAGCTACGCAGAGACCCTTTGGAAGAAAGGTCTGGTGATTGGCTTCTGGAAGGTCACTGCCAGGAAACCCCTCCTGAGTGTAGGTCAGCTCAGCAACACACGGCCCACCGTGATGGGAAGGGGTCTGGCTTGGGCTGGTGGGCTTAGTCCGCTGTCTCTGCAGCTAGAGGCAGCCTGGCGCCTGGTGGTGCTGTGGCTTAAGTGGGTTGGGTTTATTGGTTCCACTAACAGGGGGTGAGCAGGGACATCCCCCCACAGATAGTCACAAACAGAAATGCTGGAGGTCTCTGTGGACCAACACAGATGGACAGGATGGGCAGCTCCATCTGTGTCGATCAAAGACGAGATGCAGACATCAAAGGTGAAGTGACCAGAGGGAGGAGTGACAATGAGTGAGCACAGACAGGCTCCAGTCACACCCAGGAAGCCACATGCTGGTCCAGTGTCTGCAATCAACGGACAGTCAACAATTCCTGCGGCCTCTGATTGGTCTCACAGCCAGTACCTTGTAAATTAGAAGGAAACAGCTGTCAAGTGGCTTAATGGCAAATCAATGGTAGACGGTGGGACCTGTACCCTGGAGAGATTAAGAAGTCAAGATGCTTCTCCCAGGACTAGGGGCTGGAAGGTATGGTCATCAGAGAGGCTGTACAGGGCAGGATTGAGGCCAACGGAGGGTCCCCCAGGCTGGTGGGCTTTCTCCCCAGGCAGCGGGAGCAGCAGCCCTCCCACCCCAGCGGTCACACCCCGGGCTTACCTCACTGCTTCTGCCTTGACCTTTAGTAAGCCCATCCTCTCAGACAGTAATGCATCGCCCCCTGTGGACGGTTAAACTACGGGCCTGGCTGGAGCTGACAGTACCCACCACCACAGCCGGACACCAAACACAGCCAGGCCCTGGCAGGCTGTCCCGGAACCTAACGGGAGTGGGGCTCAGGGTGTGGGGCAGAAGCTCCAAAGACCTTCATTCTACAGACGAGGAAACGTGGAGCCCAGTGAGCAAGGCTGGGGGCTGAGACGAGATCTAGGGGGCCTGAGTCCCCAGTCTGGGCCGTTGGACAATTCCACGCTGTCCTGCCATGTTAGACACAGAGATGCCAGGCCTGGGGTGAGAAGGGAATCTGGGTGAGGGACAGGAGGACTGCGGGCCCAATCATTGGGTTGTTGATAAAGAACTTTGTGCACAACAAGCTCAGGGCTGGGATGTAACCCCAAACAAACACACCAGTGCCTCATTTTCAACACGTCGATGGAGTAGAACTGCCACTGAGTCTCCCAGCCTGCCATCTCATCTAGTTTGGGCATGTTTTGAGCGACCAGCTCTTGGAAAAAGACCAGGGCAAGTGGAAGGTCAGAGAAAGAGAGGAAAACCCTTAATAGGATGAATTAACGCAGTGACTGTACCAATGGACTTGACTATCTTGAGATTGTGAGGAAGGGGCAGGACGGGCAAGGTTCCGATCTTTTGTTCTTAGGGTAGATGTGAGGCAGAGTGGGCTTGACAGCACCTAACAACAACAACAACAATCTTCGCGGGAGCAGCTGCCCCATCTGTCTTCCTGGGATTGGATCTTAAATTGTTGGTTAACAGCCGAGTGTTTTTAGCACTGCACCACCAGACCTTCTTCAGGACGGGGAAACCACAGACATTCAAGCTGCAGGGGCTCCCAGGGCTGGGACTGCTGGAGTTTAGGGGTGCTGATGGAAACATGGGGGGATCTAGCACAGGTTACTTCCACTGCAAATGATGCGCTTTTCAGTCTCTTGGCCTGGCTAACACCCAGACACCTCTGTGTCACCAGAAACCTCCCTAGTCTGTGTCCTGGACACTGACAGCCCCTGTCCCTCTAAACACAGGGTTCCTCAGCCCAGAGCTGGAACGTGGGGAAGGCCCAGATCTATACGTGGACAATAAGAATTCTCCCACTGCTCGTGGCCTCTCGGCCTGAGAAGAGATGATAGAGCTTCCTGATTTCCATTTTACAGATTGGAACACTGTGATCCAGAGAGGTAAAGTGGGTCTCTCTGCTCAAACAGTACGGACGGGGGTCTGAACACAGCTCTGAGCCCAGAATTTGGGCTCCCCTTGCAACCAGCAAGGAGTGTCCCACTGGGCATCATTGCCCCACCTTGGGAGGTGACCTCACTCGCATTCCCAGGTCCAGAGTGAGTCCTGATGCCAGGGCTGGCCATGCACACTCGCTCCATGTGGCAGTGGCCTGACATATGATTGGTTCACCACACAATGGCTCACTCAGACTCCCCGGAACCATCAGGGGTGCCGTGTCTTCATGTATCAGTGGGGGGAAAGAGAGAAAGAAAATGGGTGCAGCAAATACAGCCAAGCAGTGACAAATGTCCAGCAGAGAGGGACAGTGACGCTCAGTCTACATTCTTCCAGTTTCGTGGATGTCTAACAATTCTAACAAATGAAAACGGAGACCACGTGGCTGGCAGAGGGACGCGGGGCCCAGTGGGGGCCATTCGGGGACAGGCGGGCACTCACCTTTTGATGGCTTTGTAGCAGATGATGACCAGCACAGCCAGGAACACCAAGGAGGCACAGCATACCGCGATGGTGACCACCAGCCCCGACCACCAGCTCTCCTCAGTGGGGCACGAGGTGGAGTTGGGAGCTGAAAGAGATCCCAGCAGCTGAGTTTCCCCCAGCCCCAGAGGACCGCTGGTGACCCCCCGGCTGTGAGCCTCGGCCACTCAGCCATCCATCACCAGAATGAAGGCTCTGTGGCCTCCTCTGCAGTCCCCGCCCCCACTCCACTGGGGGTGACATCATGGCTGGCCCCTGGCCAGGCTGGCCCTGGAGTTCCCAGAGCAGAGGTTAAGCACCGTGCCTCAGACCATCCATCCTCCTCAGGCAGGAGCTAACTGACACCAGGTCAGGCTTAATTCCCCATGAAAAATAACAGAACTGCTTGTTCTCCAGTCGAAGCATTAAATCCAGTTCCTCTGGAGGTGGGGGCAGGGAACAGGACTTGCTAGGACACTGGGAGAGAGGAAGGAACAGGGGATGGGAGGCAGCTGGGGCCAGGTCTCTAAGCTCCTTTTTTAAATTTTTATTATTTTGTGTGCATGTATCATTAAATCAGATCTGACTGGTACAGGAGGATATTACTCCTCCTTCTCCAGCAGAGCATCTGGTGGATTCGAACTGTGTACCTCTGGGATTGCAATGCAGCTTCTTGCCACTAGGCCACCAGAGCTCCCCTTAAGCTTCGTTTTTTTTTTTTTTTTTTTTAATTTATTATTAATTTCAATGAAAATGTACAGAGACTTTGGATTTCCATTCAGTCATTGTTGCACTTTTCTCCCTGCCCACCCCTCTCCCCCAGTACACTCCCCTCTTGGAAAAGTAAAAGAAAAATTCTTTCATTGTTTTACAAACTCTGCCCCCAGGTCCACTCTACTATGCAGCCTTCACTCTGGACTCTCGTCATGACAAAAATACTCCTTCTTGTCAGAGGTGGGTTCTCTCCACACAAAATGCGCACCCTGAGGTGGGTGCCTGCAGCCTCTCAAGTTGCCTCTGACGGCTGAAGTTGGATAGAATTGTTGTAACGGAATTGTGTACCACTCCCTTCCTCAAAGAAGTCCTGACTCCCAGAACCTGTAAATATGACTGTTTGGAAATAGCGTTTGTGTAGATGTTACTGGTTAAGAAGAATCGTGTTGCTCCCTCCCTCACTGGCTGCTGGTGAGGTGGTTCTGACCCACAGCGACCCTCCAGTGAGGTTCCGAGGCTGTAAGTCTTAGTAGCCGGGGACTGTCCGTCTTTCTCCTTCAGAGCAGCTGGTGGATTCTAACCGTTAGGGATGCAGCCTTTTGGCTGGCAGTGCAACACCCCACAGGCTGCTTACTTATTGATTAAGGAGGGTCCTAATCCTCTCTGGAGCTGCGGTGGCCGAAGGGTCAGGAGCTGTGGCGCCATCCCAAAGGCACACAGTTCAGGTCCACCAGCTGCTTCACGAGAAAGATGGGCAATCTCCTCCCCCCGTGCCATCAAACTGCCTCTGAAAACCTGCCGGTGGGTCAGTTATGGGCTGGTTCCGACGTGATGACACACAACAACAACTACAGCATCAATAATCCTACCTGAGTGATTACAAAAAGAGATCAGAAAGATGGGATAAATTATGTAGACGGCATTGAAACAGATGAGGGAGAGAACTGTTTGAAAGGGATATATGATTAAGTATTGTTGTGATGACAGGAGTCCAGAACAAAGGCTGCAAAGTGGGGTGGATCTGGGGGGAGGGATTGTAAAACAATGAAAGAATTTTTCTTTTACTTAAAAAAACAAGAGAGAAGAGAAGAGAGGAGAGGGGAGGGGAGGGGAGAGGTGAAGAGAAGAGAAGAGAGGAGAGGAGAGGAGAGGAGAGAGAAGAGAGATCAGAGTGTGTGGCTACAAGCCAGGGACCACAAGAAGTCAGAAGAGACAAGGAAGGACCTTCCAGTAGGACTCTTAGGGAGAGCAGGGCTCTGCCCATGCGGAACTCCAACTTCTGGCCTCCAGAACTGAGGGAACAGTGTAAGGTACTTTGCCCTTTGATGGACCAGTCATTGAGGAAACATCTGTCATGAGGACTAAACCTGGTTTAGCCATATTCTCAAATATCCATATACATATACTGAAAGAAGCAGCTTTGCTGAGGACCAGAGCGCAGCCACTGGCCAGGTCTGCCTCTGCTGGAACCTCCCACTCCCTCCCACTGGCCATGGCCAGAACCCCTATCCACATGTGAGAAGACAGTTTCCCATGTGAGCGGAACAATGGATCATATCAGAGAAGACAGCACCACCCAGGTGCTCATTTGTTTGTGCCTGTGTGTCAAGCTCTGTTGCAGGGGTTTCAGTGAAACGTGAGAGAGACATGAACGTGGATAAACCAGGCCTGGCACCGGATTCCCCAGGGATGATTCAAGACCCGCCTGCCTTGCTCGAGGGGCCAGCAGTCTCCCAGAGACAAGAGAGGTACAAGCTCTGAGCACAGAAGGTGGCAGGTCCCTTGGGCTCTAAGAGAGGGAGCCATGGAAGGTCCAGGTTGTTGTGGGGTGAGGGCAAGGGCTTGTGAGAAGCAAATGGTCAGATGAGGGTGCCTGCCCCCAGAACGAGGCCGCCAAGGCGCTGTCTCCTCTGTCATCCCTCTAGCTCACAGCTGAGATCCTGCAAAGACGACAAAGGCAGGCACTGTCATGACATCACAGAGGTCACAACCCCTCTCTTGAGACTCAATGCAGTTTTGTCTGCTGTGTGCATTAAACACTCATGAAGCTTGTAAAATGATGAATCTGGAAACTAGAGAGCCATTCAGGACCGCTCACTCACTGCGGCTTTATCGAAGGAGCTACACCCTTTCCTGTTAAGAGAAGCATCACCGGAAGTTCATGTGTGTGTGTCTTCCGATTCCAGCCAAGGCAGGGTAACAGGGACTCAATTCGCCCTTTCGCTTTGTATGTGCAAAACCCATACAATATGGTTTTGAGACAGTAGTCATCAGGTGGTGAAAGAGAGTGAACCCTGAGATATGAGATAAATGGGGGGGTCCTACTAATGTTGGGTTTCCAAATGGTGGTGCATGCATGGAGGAGCCAGGAGACCAGCCAAGCTGGGAAACAGAATAAGAATCCAGGGACCCCAAAGTAGCCGGAGCAGCAGAGAAGAGAGGGCTGAACACAGAGAGAACCCCAGAAATCTGCAAAGAATTTCCCTCAAGTTTCTGCAGAACACTGACCAGCACGTGTATATGAAGAAACCGCCCAAGGTTCAGAACCACGTGAAACGATCAAGGCAACTGTGCCCACTGCTCACAGCGGTCCAGGGCGAGTGCCTGCCCGCCCTGCACAGACTGACGGGCCTCCACGTTCATGGGGCATTGGGTAAACAATGCAAGGGCCTGAGCAGGTGGGAATAACTGCCCCTAGCGTAAGTACAGGGAGTCCCAGTGGCCTGGTGGTAGGAAACTGTGCTGTAATCCCAAAGGCCTGAGGTTCAAATCTACCCGCCACTCCACAGGAAGGATGGACAACCTCTTTCTGTGAGATTTACTACCTCTGAAAATCCACTAGAGTGTCAGCTCCACGTCAGTTTTGACTTGATGGCACACACAACAGACTAATTATAGGGAGCTCTGGAGACTTCGCAGTAGGACACTGTGCTGCCATCATCAAGGCGTGGGGTTCGAATTCACCTGTTGCTTATTGGGAGAAAAATGACCAGTCTCCTCTCATGGGATTTACTGCCTGTGGAGACCTGTTGGAGGATCTGCTATGAGTTGATTCCTACTCAGTGATACACAAGAACAGCCCAAGTACGGAGGCCCTTGCTAGTGCAAACAGTTAAGTGCCTGGCTGCTAAGGAAAAGGCTGGCAGTTCTAACGCACCTTTGGGGGCTTGGATCTAGTTCTGAAAGACCAGTCACTGGAAAACCCTGTGGAGCAGTTCCACTCCGAGCCACATGAGGGCGCCACCAGTCTCGCTCCCTTTGACAGCAACCGCTCCAGCTCCACCCAACAGATGTTACAGGCAACCCCCAGGGTGGTCAAATCACTTCCAAGGAGCTTAACTGTGTTCCAGAACAAAGCTCAAGCCTCTCTCTGTTGTCATTGTTGTTGTTAGGTGCTGTCAAGCCAGTTCATCCTGATTTCTAACAAAGACCGCCCCATCCACTCCATCTGCACAATTGTTAAAATCTCTGAATCCCATAGGTGCAGCTCTGATGTCAATGCATCTCGCTAAGAGTCCTCTTATTTACTGATGCTGTACTTGACCAAGCATGATGTCCATCTCCGTGGGTTGGTCCCTCTTAATAACATGGCCAATCTGAGTGAGCCAGAAATCTCACCATTCTTACCTCTAAGGAACATTCTGGTTGTATTTCTTCCCAGCCAGATCTGTTCATTCTGCTGACAGTCAATAATCTGCCAGCACTAGAATTCAAATGCATCCATTGGTCCTTGTCTTTCTTATTGATTGTCCAGCTTTCACATGCAAATGAGGCAACTGACAATACCATGGGGGGGGGAGGTGTCAGGCCGACCTTAGTCCTCAACGTGACATCTCTACTTCTTGACACTTTAATGCAGCAGATCTGTGCAATGCAATCCATTGTTTAAGACTATTTCTAGGAATAGAAGCACATCAGGCATTCAGAAATATAAACTCATAATGTCTGCTATATAATAAAAAATATTAGTCATGCAAAGCCTTAGGAAATGACATTCCATGATAAGGAGATAAATGACAGTTGATTGGAATTGATGGTAAAATTAGTTAAAATTAGGAAGCAAGGATAAGAAAACCATTTAAACTGTATGTCATATGTTTAAAAGTTCAGTAGACATTCAGCCCCAGATCTTAGTTTCTAGATATTATATACCAACTAAAAGAAGAAACATCCCTAAAGAAATATCTTGTCATTTCACTGGGGCCTAAAAGAATACAAAGATGAGCCTAGATACCAGAAAGTAAAGATGTACCAAAACACAAGAGCATGGTCCATGGCAAAGAGTTCCTAATGGCTGAAGCTGGAACAATTTGAACAACACAAGAAATAACATGAGTCTATAAATTACAGATGTTGTCAATTGGCCCACTAGTAAGAATCTTTGTTTTCTTGATG